CCGGCGGCCCCTGGCCTCCATGGGCACCGGCGTGTCCGCCGACTTCTCCGGGTTCCAGTCGCACCGGCCGCGCACCACCGTGTGCGCGCTCAGCGAGGCGGACCTCATCGAGTTCCCCTGCGACCGCTTCATGGACAGCGCGGGCAGCGGCGCGGGCGGCAGCCTGAGGCGGGAGGACCATCTCCTGCAGCGATTTGCCGACTAGATCCAGGGCCTCCAGGGTTCGGAGACCATCTCATTGGCCTTGAGGAGCCCTCTCTCTGTGGCGCCCTTCAACCCACCCCAGGGGAAGATCTCATTCCATCAGACCGTCTCCTTTTGTGCATTTGGCCAGAGAGGCCAGTTCAGCACTGCTCCCCTGCCCCCCCAATTCCCAATACTCCTAAAGTAAATGGGTGGTACTTGGTGGTCAAGACCAAGAGTAGGGGACGCATGGATAGTGGGGTGCAGAGGTGGGAGGCCTTCTTTACACGGAGACCGTGGCGCAGCTATGAGATTGGTTTTGGTGGCATGACAGTACAATAGCCTCACCCCCTTGGGGGTAGGAAAGGGGGCTTGTGCCCCCAGCATGGCCAGGTTTGGAGATTTGGAGACTAAATACTTTTTTACTTGTTCAGTGTCAAAAAGAGGTGTTTTGTGTTCTATTTAAGAAAAAAGGAACTTATTACCATGACAAAGGAGGCTGGCAGGACCACCACTGGTCTGGGGGTTTGTGCCAAGCAGGATCATGTCAGCAGGTGGTAAAGTTTAACGCACTCACCCAGGGGGAACTCCTTGATGGTGGATAACTTGACCTTTAAATAATCAGAGACGCTACTCTTTTTTTTCAACAATGTGAAGAGCTCTGACATTTAACAAACTGACAAACTCAAGGACTATTTTAGATGAGCCAGGCGGCTCAACAGTTTTCTTTTTTTTTTTTTTTAACGTGAACATCACAAGAAGGTTCGCTGACCTTGGCGTTAACTGAGATGACACACTCTCTCTGGAGAAGGCTGCGTCCAAGACTTCTCCGTCAGGGTTGCTCCTGTGGCTTTTTTAATTTTATTTTTTTAAACCCATAGATGGAAGAGGAAACGTCAATGCCAGACTTGATCAACGAATGTAATGCGTAGGTCACAGGTGGCCCCGTAGGGAAGGCCAGTGTTCTAGTTTGCTTACCACATCGCTGACAGTGTGTGTGGGTTGGGGAAAATGCCATGTGCTACTTCTCATGTTTTTATCAGTGACATGCAATTGACTGTGTCCTACTGGCCCTGAGTTGCACAGTTAAGTGTTAAAGGACATTTCCTAATAGGGGAGCAAAAGGTGATTGTGTATGTTTGGTCACATTAATGTCCTACTCTATAGGAAATAGTAGAAGGGAAGAAATTATTGGGAAAATGTGAAAAAAAAAATGGACATCGGTGGTGGTTTTTCTACGAAAACCAGAAGATTGTTACGAGTACTTAAACCTCACTGTGAAATAATTCTTTTTGCAAGTTAGTCCCTCCATGACCCTGTGTTTTACCGTGTTATTAAATCTTATCTTGTAGTTGATAATTGCAGTCTTTCTTTTCCATGCTTTTGTGTTAAACTTAGGGTTAGGCTCCTTTATTTGCTCTGTTGTTTTCAACTGTTCGAGATACTTTCGTTCCCTGATATTTATGAAGGACATGTTTATCACTACATGTAGTGCTTCGGTTTACATGAATGATTGCGTGTGTGGTCTACAAGTGTCGTCACTAAGAAGGTGGGCCTGGTTACATTCACTGTGGTTATGGTTCATGGGCAGTGGGGTGTTGTGGAGGCCACGGCATTGGTGCTAAGGCTAACAGTGCATCCTCTGTTGAGGGCCGTAAGCCCCTGAGGGTCCTAATGACTCAGGGAATCGATCACAGTCCAGGGGTCCTTCACCTCCCTGCCCCTCTCCACTCCTTTTATGTGTGGCCTCCCCCGAGCCAGGCCTGCCCTTGTCCCCACCACTGAGCGGAGACCCAGGGATCTAAATGAACTGATCTTTGTTTATGTTCAGATGAATCAATGTCCAGACCACTTAAAGTACAGCTGCTTTCCTGGCAGTCTTATCTGTGGGGCCAAAACTTAATAAACCACAGGAAATAGACTGTCATTCTGAGTTTGCTGCCAGAGCTTGTTTCCGACTCTGAGCTTGCTGGCACCGGGAAGAGGTGCAGTTGTTGGCTTTTCCTGGCAACCCCTGCGCTGTCCTGCACCTTTTCTGCTCCCGGCTTTTTTCATTCATCGAGCAGTTGCATCTCTTAGCTGCTGCTTTGGCACGGTCATGTAGTGCTGATTCCCATGGAAAATATGCAAAGGACCTCTTGTTTTCTCACGACCCACCCTGTTAACAGTAGAACATCACCGAACATGCTTAATGCCTGGATCTATGTACAAACAGTTTCACTGGAAGGCCATTCAGTGGGAAATGAATAAATGCTATCCATTGTTATGTTCAGTTACGTAAATAAACCCACTTACTGATAGAGATGTTTTATTGTTGGAGTTTCCAGTATTTTATACACCTGCCTACTGTTACACTGCATTTTTCTATAGCAGTTTTCATCATTGAAAATGAACACAGGCATGAAGCCTTTCCTCTTTCAATGTGGTTTTTTTTTTCATTTCCATTTTCACAGTAGAGTATGGATGTTTATTTTTAAGAAATGGTTGTGTGACTTGATGCCTCAAGAAAGGAGGAGATGGCTCTAAGAGCAGGTGGCCAGCCGTGGTGTGAAATGCTGTTAAGATCCCGTGACAGCAGGATGCTTGGGTCTCAGCAGGCACCAGCTGTTTAAAGGGAACTGGATTAAAAACCAAGCCCTTTGACTCGCATGGTCAATAATAAGAAAGACTTCTCTCGAACTGGGGGTCATTTTTGCCATTACGAAGTTTATGAAAAGAGAAAATTTGTAAAGGGAAAAGAATCAATTGTGTATGTGATAGGAGTGTTCAATGAGGGATCCATCAAAGCAGTGGGATTTGGGGGGACCCTCAGTTTAACCAATAAGATTATTGCTTTCATGAGACTGATCGGTTTTTGATGCTGCCAGGTAACAATTAGGATGTGATCGGAACACTGCCATTCATTTGCCAGGCACTGTGTTTTCACCACAAGTACAGCAATAGGGGCAGCTATTGTATTTTAAGAAACCATTAAAATAGACACGGGACGCCTGGTACTGGTAGTTAACCCCTACTGTGTCTGCTTCTGAGACTTGGAGATGAGTGACAATGGAGTAATCTAATGCCAGAAACGTATCCAAAATTCCAGACCCAGAACCAAAACAGAATCCTACCCGGTCTCGTACCTTTGCCATCCAGGAGAATTATGGCATCATTCAAGCTCAGAATAATTTTAAGGAAGTGATGAAAGGCTCTGAGTCCTCTGGGATTGTATTCATTCCATGCATTAATCTCCTTGTGCCTCAGCTTCCGCATCAGTTAAAACGGGAGGCCTACACGTCTGACTGCACCGTGCTAAGGCGAGAAGTCAGAGTACGCAGTGTTTGCCAGCACCGGTTACACCGCAGGTGTGTTGTTAGCAGGATTCTCCTGTGCACAGGGCCACAGGTGGCAGGATACGTTGTGGAAATCTCATGGACAAAACATTTGTGCTCAGGCTCTAACCCATCAGAAAATTCAGATCATGAGATTACAACAACCCTTCCTCTCTTGTTCTGGTTGGTTGGGTCTCTCCTAAAATTGAGTGTGAAAGGATAGCTCTCGAAGTATTTTCTCATTACTTAACAAATGTGAATTCATTAGTATTTGACCAAACTTCTCTATGTTTATGAAACTCATGGTATACACCAATCCACCCTTGAGGCTGGAACTAAGGGCTGGGTAAATGGTCTTGCTTGTATAGCCCCCACCCCATTTCCATTAACTTAGTGATAGCATCTCCAAGTCTGCTTTTACTCTTAGTTTACTTAAAGGGATACTTTGCACAAACAATTCTTTTATCCCCCAGGGATTTCAAGCCACTACATCTTTCTCCATCAGGTGACGAACAGCATTCTTTTCATTTTGCTTGGGAGACAGGTATTTGGAGATTATATCTACATTAATGACTGAAATGGGGGGAAGCATAGCTTCTAATACCTGGCTGCTTTCTTGGGGAAAAGTACCTAAATATCCCAGTGCATCTGTGTGATAGATTTTAAGCTACAGGTGGTGTGATTCTTTATCAACACGAGCTTTATAATTTGGCTGTGAGCTGGCATCAGAAGCTGGGTGGAAATAAATTATCATACACATGCAGGAGGTAACCAGTCGATGTGTTTCTCTCACATTGATGTTTCTGTCTCTTCCCCTCCTTTCCAGTCTCTAAAAATCAATGGAAAAATAACCTTGGGTGAGGGTTAACAACAACAAAAAAGAGAATAATGAGTGATACCAACAAGATGTAAGGAAGAGCACCTCAGTAGAATTAAGCACAAACAAAAACAAAAAGGTGTGTGTGTGTATGTGTGTGTGTGTGTCTTACATAGTAAGCCTTGAAATCAGGTCGTGTGAATCATCCAAATTTTCTTTGTCAAAGATGATTTTGGCTATTTCACTTTTTTGATTTTCCATATACATTTTAAAATCAGCTTGTTATTGCTCCCAAAATTGGTGGGGTTTTGATTTGTATAGCATTTAACTCTATAGACCAATTGGGAGTATTCAGGAGTATTGGCAAACCCAGTATAGCTCCTTGTCACAGAGAAAATATGAACTGACAACATGGAACATGTTATGAAGGGAGAAGCTATATCTGAGATTCCTTTTTTAAAAATATATTTTATTGACTTTTTTACAGAGAGGAAGGGAGAGGGATAGAGAGTTAGAAACATCAATGAGAGAGAAACATTGATCAGCTGCCTCCTGCACACCTCCTACTGGGGATGTGTCCACAACCAAGGTACATGCCCTTGACCGGAATCGAACCTGAGACCTTTTCAGTCCATAGGCCGACACTACCCACTGAGTCAAACTGGTTAGGGCTCCCTCATAATAACCCTTTGAGGAGGTATGTTACTACCCTCACATCAGAGATGAGGAAACTGAGGCACGGAGTGGGGAGGTGGTGGAGTCTGAATTTGAAACCAGGCTGGCTGGCCCCAGGGTCCTTGCTGTCAACTCTGACACTTGCCACCTTGTGAGTGCACGTAACAACTGGTGAACACCAGGGGACTATTCTCACGATTCATCATGAACAGTGCCCTCCCCACACCCTTTCCAATACTACACTTTAAAAATCACCTCTAAGCACTCTGGCCTTTATTTTCTGCCTGTTTTTCTTAAGCTGTGTCAGGGCAGTACCCAGGGATACATCATTCATCCTTAAATATTTAATGAGAATATGTAGTCCATCTCATGGCCATGCACGCTTCCCTCTGTCCCAGCATGGATGGGGCAGTGTTGCATGCTGCAGGGTTAGTCCTTTCCCCTGGTCTGGGAGCTCCCTGGGGACAGGAGTCTGCTCTTGTATTTCTCTTTGTGCCCACACTGGGCCCTGTTGGCTTAGAGTTCCTGCTACCTGCTTGTTGAGTGCTATGAGGCAGCTGCCCACCCTCTTCCCACTGAGACACACACACCAGACACTGTTGACAGAAGTGAGACACACTTGTGTGTTGGGCCAGGTCATTTAATAGCTGCACTTCCATCCAAACAACATTTATATAGCAACTAGAGGCCCGGTGCATGAAATCTGTGCATGGGTAGGTTCCCTAGGCCTGGCCAGCAATTAGGGCTGATCTGTGGGGCAACTGGCAGGGTGATGGGGCGGGGAGGGCACCCGCTGGCACCTGCCTTGGCTGGCCTGGGGCCTGCGGGCTGGGGGAAGCTCCTGCATTGAGCATCTACCCCCTGGTGGTCAGTGCACATTGTAGTGACCAGTTGTTCCTCCGGTCATTCCACCATTCAGTCTATTTGCATATTAGGGTTTTATTATATAGGATGGTTGAAAACAGATAGATGCTATAAAATGGAATATTTGGGGGTACAATATAAGTCTACTTTTTCTGTCTTTAGTACAGGAATACAGTTCTCAAAAAGTGAACACTTTAGTTCACTAAATTTAGTGAACTAAATTTAGGAAATTTAGTACACATTTCCCCTTTGTGTACTATTTGTAGATTTCATATTGCTTAGAAAAAATCATGGAGTATGTCTTATTTATGTTGGTATTTCTTATTTATGTTGGTATTTGTATCATCTGGCATAGTGCATTTCACATAGTAGATTCTCAGTAAATGTTAGTAGAATTTTTTTAAAAAAGCCATTAGACCTGTTAGGAAAGGAGTTACAGTAGGAGCAATTTTTCATCGAGGCTATTTCACTGAAGGCTGTGTTTTTGTTTTCTAGGAAACAGAAGAAAATTGTTGCATCCCCACTGATGATCTTATTTCCACCTGGTCCCCATTCTTTAGTAACTTCTTCCCCCACAAAATCATGACTGAGACTTTAAAAAAAAATCCAAGACATAACAATAATTCACGGATTTCTTTCTGCAGCAGAAGATAGAATACACAAGTGTTTTGTGAGATAAGGGACATTTCAGCGACACTGTGAGGCCTGGGTTGAAGCGTAGGCGGCTAGTCCGCCAGGTGAATCCCTATCTGCAGGTGCCAGAGGGAGCTGTCTCCATGGCTGATGGAGCTCGGACCTTGGCCCATTTATCATCATTACCGCAGCGGACAGAAGCCGATAGCGCTATTCTTGTGAATAGGCATCTATAAAAGGAGGCACAGTGCTGTGGGAAAGAATGTGTGTGTAAAGGTGTGATGGTGTGTGTGTGTGTGTGAGAAAGAGAGAGAGAGAGAGAGAGTTTGGCTGCTTACATTTTCTTTCCTCTTTTCTGCTTTCACTGTCACAGTCTCTCATCCACAAACTTAGATTCACAGAAGCCACTCCGGGCTGTGAGACTTCCAGGGGCATAGCTTTTCCTTATAAGGGAACAGAATTCGGTTGCAGAACATGGACAATCTGTGTTAGCATCCCTGGGCTGTGATCGCCATCTGATTAGGGGGCCAGAGGTGAGGGGTGTGACCATGGCGGGTGCTGGCGTCTCCCCCAGTCCCGACCCAGCCCGGTGCTAGCTGCTTCCTGGCCTGGAGTTTCCAGGCAAACCCTGGGACCGAGTTCACAGATGGGACCAAGCCTGCCTAGTGACAGGCGGAGGGAGCCCCAGGGATGCTGTTGT